GTGATTCACCAAATGCTGAATGAGATGTTATCATTCAGTAGATGATGAATCACTTACAGAGTCTGAAATAGATATGTCATTGGCCAGAAACCCAATAAATCTTGTAGTGCCCCTTTGTGCCAAAGAGCATTGCCATAGCTCAGCCAAAAAGAGCTCAATGTTTCATCTCTGTTGCAATCCTATTACTACTAATAATGTTAATAGTAACAAAATGCCATCTGAGCAGTGTTCAGTGGGCTGAATGCTACTGATGTTCTGCCACATATGCATGGCAGGAGGTATGACTGTGGGATTGTGCATCAGATCCAATAGTGCCTTATTGCTGTTGTAAGAGGAGCCTGATCTTTGGCAACAAGCAGGCTACCATGGCTGGGAGCCCCATTTGCTGCGGGGGCTCCTAGCGGCAGGGACCACTGTGGCAATGCACTTGCAGTGTCTGCCACTTTAAGGGCTGAGTCAAGCAGCCAGCAGGTGCTTGATTGCAGCAGCCATTTTAAAACACTGGCTGCCTATATAAATACAGCAGTTTGCTGCTGACAGTGAGGCATAAACATTGCTTTGTTGAAAAGCTATATGAAACATCCAGGAGGTATGGGCAAGAGCTGATGGGGATGGCTAGGAGGCTCTTGGCCCTGAACATGACCTAAAACTGCACCCTGCCAGGGATGGGTGGCCTGTTGGGGTGCTCCTGATGGTGTGGGAGCCCTCAGGAGATGCCAGGCCAGTTACCACCCTGGTGAAAGGTGGGTCAGGGCATCTTAACCCCTAGCCCCCACAACACTGTGGTTACAAGGGGCCAGGCATGGCTGTGGCCATCTGAGCCTCCACAAGAGAGGGAACTCTGGAGCCCTGAAAGAGGGGGTAGATGTATAACCCCAGAGAAGGGGTGGTAGTGAGGGCCTGGAAGAGAGTTGAGTAGGGCTGAGGCTCAGCCTGAAAGGCAGCACATAGGCCAACCCCCTGGAGAGCAAGTGGGTTGAGTAGGGGTGAGGATCAGTCTGAAGGGCAGCCCTGACGGAGTATGCTGAGTAGGGCTGTGGGATGGCCTGAAGGGCAGCACATGGGCCAACCCCTTGGAGATCAGGTTGAGAGAAGTGTGGAGCCCCAGAAAGAGGGAACAGAGGACTGAGAGCCTGTGAAAAGGTCAAGATTACATACCTGGAGCAGGCCCCTGGCCAGGGGAGTTTGCCCAGCCATGGTGGCATGGCCACACTCCAACAAGGGCTCCTGATTCCCCCCGGTGTTGTTTTATCACCTTGCTGGGTAAAGCGGCTTGGGCTCATTAAGCAGCCCAGGGTTATTTCTGGTCTTGGGAGATGGGATGAAGAGGGATGGTAGAAGGGAGAGACGGGGCATGTCTGCTGCCCGGAATTGAGGTCCCCAGGAACAGGGCAAGAAACCTTCAGGGTCTTTAGAGCTCAGAGGAGCTCACATGCCTAAAGAGGAAAAATGCTTCTGCATTAATTGGTTGCTGCGCTCGGTCAATTAAGCTGGCCTGGTATCAATTACTGAAGGAAAAAAACGGGAAATGTGGTTCCAGCGATTAAGCACTCGTGGATTAAGGGCACGGGGAGGGAGAGTCTGCATCCGAGTCCTCTGCAGCCAGGAGAAGCACCAACGGACAGATGGCAAGTGGCCTGTGGTTTTATTTCATTTGCTAAGAAGTTTGTTGGTTTTGTTGTATATACCTGGTCTGACACCGGGCAAGTGACGGTCAGCCCTTTGTCGGGGAGTCATCACCCCTCCCCCATTAATTAAGTCATCAAACTTGTGGCAGACGAGATAATAGTGAGGAAGACCAACCCAAGTGAGTTGGCTGGAACTGGCCTTGGGGAAGAGGAAGGCCAGTGAATGTCAACGAGATGCCAAGGCCCACGTCCGGACGTACATGGTAATATCCCAACAGAGCCCAGTATGTGGGGCTGGGGCAGTGTGTGTTTATGTATGTTTATGTAAAGATGCCCCAGGAGGGCCCAGGGCAAGCTTGGCCTAGGAACTTGGCTGGCCACTACCCAGGTGAGAGTCCTGGGAGAGGCCCAAAGGGACTCTACGTCTGCCACCCAAGGCATGATCTGGATAAAGCCTATGACCTACAGGAGCCGCTCCAAGAGGGAACAAGACAGAACAAGTTGTTGATGCGAGGAAGAGACCCTGTGAAAGGGGTTGGAATGCGAGAGGCCCTAGTGAGAGGAGTGAATGTGTGTGTGAAAGAGGCCTGACAATGAGGGCTAAGCTTGGCCTGGCTCTAGGCTGGGAGCATAATGACACCATGGAGGTCATCTGCAAGGCATGGGCTGCAGTGTAGGGGAGGTTTGAAGCCGCAGATCATGCCCCCAGGCGTGGGGCATGTGATGTGCAGTCTCCCTCATTTCATCACTTGTTTTGTGAACAGCAAAGTGGTGGCAGGAAAGACTGGGTGGACTGCCCCATAGAGACAGGTGGACAGGTTGGCATGAGACCCGGCCCTGAGCGTGCCCTCTATCACAACCACATGCAGCCAGGACTGAGAGTCTTACATTCTGGGTCCTGGCTGCATGTGGTCCCTGCCCTGGCACACCTATATCTCCTGCCAGCTGCCACAGCCCTTTTAACAGCTGTGCCCACCCAGAATTTATTTCATGCCTTACTGACATAGCTGCCATAGAAAAGCTGCATGAATCCAACATGAGCTGCTCTGGTGGCTTCACTGTAGCATCTGCTATGTGTCAGCTGATGTTCTGGCAACAGAAGCAACCTAGTGTGGTATAGTCAGACTAATACCTAACTATGCCCAAAGTTATGTTAGGAGTATCATGAGCATTAAAGTGTTCTCCATAGTTTGAATTACTGATTTTTTTAAAATCTTCCTTTGTGTTGCAGAACAACTGAACCAAAGAAGGGTACATGTCATGCCTTACCTTCCCATATCGTATGATCTCCATGAGCAAAGGATCGCCAAAAGAAAAATGCTAGGGGTGTAGATTGTAGTAAGCAGTTTAACTGGAGCAAGGTCCTTCCTGGGTACTGACAGGGAACATCTACATTTTCATTAATGCACTGTAGTTACTGCACATTAAGTTTAGTACTTGTATAATCAACATTACTGCATAGTAGCACTGGCACACGCCTTTTTTAGTGAGAATACTCTGCAGTAGCATATTAGCACCGTTGGTGATATGACGCACTACTGCTCAGTATCAGGCTACTGCACAGTTAGTGTCTCATGTAGATGTGCCCACAGAAGCACAAGGTACCTGCTTCTAGTGTTAGGGCAGAAATTTCTGACATTTGGGTTCTGAAAGAGAGGAGTTGCCTGCATTACTGTTTGTTAGCACTACTAAGCAGGCAAGCAAGACTTGTGTGCATTTGTAAATTAACAAATTATACTAAAGTGTATGAGTGTATCTCCAGTTTCTGCTCCAAAACTAATCCAAGAGTCCATGGGTTGTCCAACCTGTTGGCCAGGAGTATCATGTGTTTCTCCATAGTACATTCTGGCCCATGTTGTGATCTCACTCTCTCTTCCTTCCTACCTACTTCCCTACTGTCCTATATTTATTTCTTTTTCTTTTACATAGCTATAGTGTCTGCTGATGGGAAGAAACTGCCAGATCACTCTGCTTCCCTCTCAGCTAAAATCTTCCTTTTCTTTCCCCCAAAATTGATGGGGCCATCCTTAAATAGACTTATTCTGTGTCAAGAATTCCATTATGACTGCTTCTTCTGGAACATCCCCCCTCTCAGCTTTTCCTTGCCCTCACTTTAGCCAGTTTTTCCATCCCTGTGTTGATTTTTGCCTCTTTTTTTTCTGTCCAGGCATTTCTACCCCTAGTACTGCCTCTGGGTGCAAGAGTTAGGATCAGACACTGCTGAATCACAGGTTATCTCAAGCTGAGCTTCTAGCTGAGTTCATTCTTGTAATTCCAGTGGACTGAATGCTACTGGACAGCCTCAGCTGCACCAAAGGTGAAAGCAGATTAGCCAATGAGCATTTAACTGTATTTGGCCAAACAAGAGGAATTTACTGACTCCTCCCTTAGACTGCTTCAGGATATGTCAACAGAAGAGAATCCTGAGGAGCTGTCAGCAAAGATGCACTAAAGCTGACCCCTCTTGAAAAAATTATGATGTGTGCAATTAAGGTAAAGAGAGAGAAAAACATCTTATAATGAGGAGTGCTAATTAATAAAGGTTTTTCATGTAAACCTCTTATAATGATATCTGAAAAGTCAGGCTTGGAGATGGGAATGTGAGAATATATGTATGGATCTAGACAGCCTGGTTCATCATATAAAACTTCTGTTCATTGAAACCTGTCTGCATTTGTTGTGCTTTCTTATTTGGTCACATCTAAACTAGTATGATGAACTATATCTTTTTCTGATATTTGTATTCATTATTTTATTACCTTTAGGATTGTTCCTACATATTTAAACCTAATTGCAAACTCCCATCAATTTCAGTGATGCAGGCTCTAGCCCTGATTTCTCATTTGTGTATTATTGGTAATAGTATGCGATACTTTGCTCAAAATTTGTAGGCCTGCATGTCAAAATGGTTCATATGTATATGCTTATTTAGGCTTCCCTTTGATATTTTCTTTTCATGACCTGATATCTTTCTGGGATTGAAGAAAACAAAAAATATTTAATTTTAGATTGTATTCAAAACCACAATGACACGTGCAGATTAATTGTGAAACCAATGGATTATACAATGTGACATCATGCAGTACATTCTGACAACTTTCTCCCACTTCAGTTCCTGAGTAACTTATAATTTCCTCAATATGACAAAATCCCAATTTAACATTCATGCTGTGCTTCCATATTCATTTTTCATTTCTCAGTAAGTTAATGAGACTCAGAAAACAACATTCTTTCAAAGTTATCTTTACCAGAAGTTCTACTGTAGTACTGAGTTTCCAGCAAGCCATCATTTAAAACAAGATTGTTTAAGCTATGTCTTTAAGGGGTGTATTAAGACTGTCAAATGGTTGAATACATTCTTGTGTGTTACAGACAATCCTGGCCTGCTGAGCCATGTTCCAGTTGGCATTAGAATCCTGGATGTCAATGACAACCCTCCAGAGCTTGCCAGAGAATATGATATAGTTGTCTGTGAGAATGCAAAGCCTGGTCAGGTAACACATTAGTCTCACAGTTGCCTTTCTTCTAACACATGACAGAAGAACTGCTTTATTTCTGTTAATGCCATGTAAAAAAGAGGTTTGATTTGGTGAACACTTAAATACTGTAATTCTTGGAGGAAGGAAATAATCCCATTATAGCTTTACATTTCAAATTAAATAAAACTTTTACATATGATAGGATAAGGGGAAAGTACATTTCAATATCTTTTAATTTTTGCTAAAATACAAGTATCAAATATTTGTGTTTAATCAAGATGAGAAAAATTATAATCTTATCTGATAAGTGAATGAAGGCTTATCATCATCAGTAAAAGGGAATAATTACCTTCTCATCCCAGTTTTACCTGGATACAAGGCTTCATAGATTCTTTGTACAATGGCAGATACAACATAGTTGTAACAGTGACTCTTCACATGTTAGCTGTCTTTAAGAACAGTTTGCATAATAACAATGACAGAGAACATTATTCTTTCGTAAGGGATCCCTTTAGATTGACACCAAAGTTTCATATGGTTTCTGTATTCAAAGTGAGACTGAACTGGATTACTGCTCTCCTGCTACTTCCATTGTTACTATGCTCCATCGGCATCCATGGCTTTATAGCACTTCTAACACCCTGCACCCTCTTTGAGGGTTGCACACTGTAGCTATCACTTTCCATTGGGCATCCACTAGTTCACTTCAGTGTTTTAAGATGGATGTTAGTGTGAAATTGTCTTCAATACTCTCTGTTCATCTGGGGATACATCCATGCTATTTTACATCATGACCCTTGCTTCAATGCAGTTTAGTGCCCCATACTAATGACACTTTGAAGGACCTTCTACTTCAGTAGCTCAGTATTAAAGAAAGCAATAGTCTGCATGTTACTAATGTACTTTTTAACTGAGAAGATTGTATTACTTATATTGTTTACTATTTACTTGTATTTTGGTAATGCATCAAGTTCTAGTGAGATTTGGGGTGTCATTTTGCTGTATAAAAATGCTTATAGGAAACCCTGGGTCCTATTCCAAAGAGCTTGACCAGCATTAAGATGAAGAGGAATGAGGAGAGTAGTATCAGTAATGTAACTAAGAGGTACAGGGGGATGCAGGGCACTTGGACCAAGAGGCAAAAATAGCTGGCAGCCCGGATTCAGCTCCTAAATGTTTCCAGAGTGTTGCTGGAGATGCATAGAATCTTTTTAAAGATTCTAATAAATATCTATTTATTTATTTATTCATCAAAAATATTAAAGCAAACTTGGAAGGTGGATTAGAATTCTATTACTTTTTTTACCAAATGTGCATACTGTAATCTCCACTTTTAATATTTCAGGTCACTTAGGCATTCATTTCTTGTAATCTCGAAAAAAGCAATATGCCCCCAAAACTATATAATATCATTTATACTTATGCTAACTTTGATAAAAAATAAAAAGTAACTGTTAAAATAGAACCTTCCCTGGGAATAATATTTTTCTTTATTGTAATACAAAATTTGTTTTAAAATATTGATTGACTCCACAGAAGTTGTCACAATTAGAGTATTGTGGGCACCACAGTGTGAAAGAGAGTTTCCAGGATAGAGGTTGTTGGACTAAGAACTAGCTTAGGGAAGACGATCCATATTTGAGAGATTCCCAAATGTATTATAAACACTTTGGTTAGGTAAATTAGAATATGATTGAATATGGAAGGCATTAAGCCCCACCCCTAGAAGTTTCTGTGTTAGGAATAATAGAGCTAAAATGTAATATTTTATATTAGATTAGGTCAATAATAATTAATGTAGCATAGTAATTTTGACCATTGCTTGAATTTCGTAGTCTCTACTTTGCTTTTTAAACAAATTATCTACATATTGTTCATTCATTTGAAAACAGGATTCGTATATTAAATCAGATATGTAACAACAAATATGGATGCAAAAACTATTAGTTACAAAAGGCACTGTCTTGTGAGGTACTTTGTAGGTTTATGCAAAGCAGTTTCTTTTGGTTTTAAAAACATGTATTTTGATAGTTTTATTTTTTGTTTTCATCTTCTATTTGTCTTGGGGGTTTTGTGTGGAGGGATTGGGCATCTTTTGGATTTAAGTAATTCTCAAGTATTTACAAGAAGAACATTTTGAGTTTTTTAATACTAACACATTAGGCTCTAAATCCTATCTTTATTGAAAACTTTAACTATTCTAAAAAATTAAATGGGAAGGGATTAAACCTGCATAGTTTTTGTTTTACCCAATTAGTAAATACTTAGGTAAAACATTAGCAAGTAATTAGAAATTCATGGAACTTGGTTGTAGGAATGGGTGGAGTTTTAAGTGGCATTGAGAACTGCTAGAAATGTTTGGTTTGTTATCATTTAGAAACACTTGAAAGGTAACAAAGGCATGTTCTTTTTCAGGCTTCATAGTAATGAATTTGCTGGGAAATTGTTTCTCATTCCATTTGTAGTATATATGAAAGCTGCTGATCAATGCAGCGGAGGAGTGATAAAAGTTTAGTGATGGCCAACTTTGTATTGTTTGATGATTAAATATGCTGAAAGTTTTAAAAAAAGAAAAACAACTGAATGGACTAAAGTAATGAAAACCAGTAATTCTTCTGAAAACACAAACATTTTAAAAAGCTTAGTTTCTGTATAGGAAAGTTTTGTACCAACCTTAAAAAGAGCAGAAAAGCTGTTTTCTCACATGCAGTATGATCAAATATTTCATTGTATTATACTTTGTCTTTTGAAGTGGAAAGGCAGAGCATTTCTGATTTTAATGATCCTGTAAGTGAGATATTTTTTGTACCACTGTCTTTTGTTTAAAACATTAATGATAATTTAACCCTTACGTTGTGCTTTTTAGTAGAGTTTCATTTAGGAGAGTCTGTTTGTTTTTTGTTATTTTGGAGGATTTAAGATAACCTGTAAATTCAGTCAGTAATTATGTAGAAAAGCAGACTTTCAGAGTAAATACCGAGTGAAGTCTTTCAAGACTGGACTGAAGACTTTCAAGACTGGACTCCTTCTGGACTTCAGCAAGGCCTTTGACACTGTCGACCAGCCCATCCTCATTAAAAAAAACTAGGCAACTGTGGCATTGATGTCTACACAGTCAGATGGATTGCAAATTGGCTGAAGGATCGTACTCAGAGGGTGGTGGTGGATGGGTCATATTCGACCTGGGGGGAAGTGGGCAGCGGAGTCCCCCAGGGCTCGGTCCTTGGGACCGCACTGTTCAATTTCTTTATCAGCAGTTTGGACGATGGGGTGAAAAGCAATCTGTTCAAATTTGCTGATGATACCAAAATTTGGGGTGAGGTGGGCACACTAGTAGGGAGGGAAAGACTGCAGAAAGACCTGGATAGGTTGCAGGGGTGGGCTAACAAAAACAGGATGGGTTTCAATACTGACAAGTGCAGAGTGCTGCACTTGGGCAGTAGTAACCAGCAGCACACTTATAAGATGGGAAACTCCCTTCTGAGAGCACGGAGGCAGAAAGGGATCTTGGAGTCATCATTGACTCCAAGATGAACATGGGCCGACAATGCGAGGTCATGGTCGGCAGGGCTAACCGGACCTTATCGTGCATCCACAGGTGCATCTCAAGTAGGTCCAAGGAGGTGATCCTCCCCATCTATGCGACACTGTTCAGGCCACAGCTGGAGTACTGTGCCCAGTTCTGGGCACCCCACTTCAAGAGGGATGTGGACAACATTGAGAGGGTCCAGAGGAGGGCCGCCCGCATGATCCGGGGACAGCAGGGCAGACCCTACAATGAGAGGCTACAGGACCTGAACCTGTTCAGCCTTCACAAGAGAAGGGGGGACCTAGTGACCATCTATAAACTCACTAGGGGGGACCAGAAGAGTTTGGGGGAGACCTTGCTTCCCCTAGCGCCCCCCGGGATAACAAGGAATAACGGCCACAAGTTGTTGGAGAGTAGGTTTAGATTAGACATCCATAAGAACTACTTCACAGTTAGGGCGGCTAGGATCTGGAACCAGCTTCCAAGGGAAGTGGTGCTGGCTCCTACCCTGGGGGTCTTTAAGAAGCGGCTTGATGCATACCTGACTGGGGTCAACTGAGCCCAGTTTTCCTCCTGCCCAGGCAGGGGGTCAGACTTGAAGATCTACAAGGTCCTTTCTGACCCTACTTCTATAAGAAAAGACTAAAATAAAATAAAATAAAAAAAAAGGAAAAGGATTACTGAAATTCAGTATCCTATCCAATGAAATGGGTGTGTTTAGCCAAATATTTAAATATAACTGAAAAAGAGGAATCATCTCATCTTATACTAAAGCCTGTTTCAGGATTGCTAGAATTCTTCCACAGTCATCATAAATCTGATGGTTGATTGACCAAAGGCTAGGGTTTTTTTTCCCCACTGATTAGGTGCATAAGTAGATTTAGGTGCTCATATGCATCTGAAAAATACTGAATGCAAAAGGTGGCTCGGTCCATCCCCTCTTCAGTGTTATTTGTGACTCAAACATAAAGATAATGTGATGTTACGTTACAAAAAGAAATGCTTTAATGAATTTTCAAGACTTCACCAAGGTAGAATAGAATTGTACTTGAGCCTCAGTCCACTCATCTACCTAGTAGGTGGAGTATAAGCTAACCCTAACAGACAAGAAGTCATGCCCAAAGTGACTTTCGGGATATCTGCATTTATATACATCTATACAAAGTTTGGTGAAATTTTCTCAGCCTGGGGAGAAAACATGGCAAATATTTTATACATAAAGTTACCTTATGAGGACACACTAAAATTACAAACTCGAAAATCCTGTGGGGAGGAAACTGAGGCTTATACCACTAATTCCAAGATCTCAGAAGAAATCATAATTAATCACATTAACTACAAAGATTCAAAATGTTCAATAACAAACTTTTGAAGTAATTTAGATACTCCTTGGAAATGTTCTGTTATCCAGATGACATGAAAAATGGTGTAGGCTTAAATTGAAGAGGTTGAAAACGTAGAGGTTGAAAACGTAACATGAACAAGG